CCACCTCAACTGGCTCCTCTCGACGTGGAGGAGCAGCGGCTCTACTCTGAGTCCCTCCCGGATGACCGAGCTTCTCACCCTATCTCTAAGGGAGAGCCCAGCCACCCTGCGGAGGAAACCCATTTCGGCCGCTTGTATCCGGGACCTCGTTCTTTCGGTCATGACCCAAAGCTCATGACCATAGATGAGGGTAGGAACGTAGATCGACCGGTAAATCAAGAGAAGAAGAAGAAGCATTGTTACAACAAAGAAATAATCCACCAAAGACTAATTTCCATACTTTTTATCCTAAGTTTAGAATTGGTGATGGTTGAAAGATGTCACAGGGATTCTCAACCAAACCAGTGAACCAGCAGTTGTTGTGACTGCAACTAAAAACTCTTCTTGACTTTTTATGAGAGCGACAAATGCAAACTATATTCTGTGGCAGGGCTATTCAACTGAACTGCTCCGGGGGCCACAGTTACTGCAGGTGAACAGCTCAGGGGCCGGACATCCAGCAATTAAATTTATTTTGTAAATAAACCAAGTATTAGAAAGATTTGTTACCTTAATAGTTTATTTTGCTGCATTTAATCATGATTACAACATACAGAACCCTATAAAAGTAGCGTTAAAACAAAAAGAACACATTATACTCCCTATTTGACACAAATATTATTTTGACATCTCTGACTTGCCAAATTTTTAAACCAATTTTATTTTCACTTTCATAGTTTTATATTCAACTGCTTGTCATTTTAACTGTCTTTAGTGTGCATAGAAATGGTTTTTATGAGCTTGTAGCCAAGATTCTGATGGTTCTGTCGATACAAAACATGTCTATGTCTAACTAAAAGAACTTAAAGTAATTAAAGTAGAAAACTGGGGGTTTGGGCTTAAGAGATGAACGAACCAATTGGCAGGCCGAACTTTGGTCACTCGCGGGCCGGATGTGGCCGCGGACCGTCAGTTGAATAGCCCTGTTCTATGGTTCTTATCTGCAGTATTATTTCAGCTACTAGTCGTGATGTTCGTTGAAATGAGAAAGAGTTGTAGCTGTTTTAGCCAAACCTGGAAAACCACATAATATGGCAAGATGCTATATGAGTTGTGAAAAACTCTCAGCTATCAGTAAATCAAATTTTAGCTGAGTATCTGTAAAACTGACTGAATAATAGTCATTTTAATTAATGTCAACTACTGTATGTTAATCAGTAGTAGAGGTACACACAATGTTTACTTTCTGAGATTTTTATCAAAATCTATTTGCTAATAAACATGATTTCACAGTGATCATAAGAACATTTAAGATGTGAAAAACATGTTGTTTTTAATTGATCCTTTATATAAATGATTTTACAGTTAATTAAACGGTATATGTCGACAGTGTGAATGTTCAGATTTGGTCCAGAACAGAGTGAGACATCAATAAAACAGACACAGTCAAAGATGATGTCATTTTAGGCCATAAGGCTGTAAAAAACAATAGATTAAAACATATGAACATTTAGCTCAAACACAAATCAAAATCAAATCTGTAGATGGCAGCCAGTACTGTGGAGACAGAGTGAACATAAGAACCAGAATTGATCCAACACCGTCTCTGCTTCACAATCGTAACCCAACTCCAACGTACAGTCTGACCGCCGTTAATGTAATTAACACCAGTGAGTAAATGAGTTTGTGCCTGCGTGTGCAGCAGCTGGTGAAAGGTTACACTGGGCTGCTGATACGCTCATCCATCTACTTTGGTTGCTACGAGAACGTGGCAAACAAAGTTACAGTTTTATACTGACGGCTTTGGTTCCACCACAAGAAGGTGTTTGTTGCAGTTGCTGTCAGGGAGACGTGCAGGGATCCTATCAAAAGGTGCATGTGTGGCGTGTGTGGTATATGTCACATGTGTGAAAGCTAGGTGATGTGCACCTGTGTGCGTCAGCTTGAGTACGAAGGTGCTTTTTCTGGGTCACGTGTTTGTGGTGAGCGTGTGCACAATGTTTCTTTACATGAGAGAAATTTAAAAGCCTACACTGGATTATAAAGTGTGTGTGTGTGTGTGTGTGTGTGTGTGTGTGTGTGTGTGTGTGTGTGTGTGTGTGTGTGTGTGTGT